AGAGAGCAGCTAAGGCCTGGCAATGTGTGGCAGGATTGGAGTCCAAGTAAAAAGGCCATTGCATAATAGTTGTAAAAGTGGAGCCTAAGCTATAGTGGAGACCAGGAAACTGGGGGTTCCATAACTATGGGACATGCCCCGAGGAGAAATACAGGTGGGAAGTGTAGTGGCATAACAGATACTCTGTATGTGCTGAGGTGGGAGAGCTGGAGGGGTGGATCTACTAAAGCCCTCTAGAACTTAGCCAGTTATATCTTGAGTCCTGGATGCCAGACATGGAGATGCAGAATTTGCTCTTTGCCTTGCTGGACTTGGTCTTGATCACTCCTTGCTAAGCCCCAATTCTTCCATGTTTATTCTATACCATTATATGTTGGAAGTTTATAATTTTTTATAAGAGTCTTTGAGCTCTTAAAGTGTTAGAAGTTCTAAGGACTATGAGACTTTTAAAGTTGGAAGGTGGAGTTTATTTTAATTTCAACTTTCCTGCATAGAAAGCATCAACTGAAAAATTGTGCTGGTTGCCTTAATTTTTGAGGGAAGTGTTAATCCCACAGACACAAAGAGAAAGACCACTGACCCAAATGGCCAAACTGGAGCAAGCTTTTTAAATTTGTATACACAGGTGCCTTTCCCTAAAGTGGGATTCAAGAGATCGGCCTTGGTCATGGAGACAATAACGGTGTTTATAGCTTAGGAGTAGGGTGGTTCCAAGTGGGGGATTTGGGGGGCAAACAGGCACACAGAAGCAGAGCATAAGCATAACAAATTGGTCACAGCAACCTCCTGTAACAGACATGGTTGCAAGGTGATCATAGCAAAGTGGTCATAAAAAAGTAGTCATAATGAGGTGGTAACAAGATAGTCATAATGAGGTGGTCATGACAAGGTGATCATAACAAAGTAATCATAACAAGGTGGTAACAAAGTGGTCACAACAACTTCTTGAAACAGAGGCATGGTTGCCATTTCCTGGAACAAGCAGTACAGAACCATTTGTAGTTAGGGTTATAGGTAGGGTATAGCCTAATCCTTGGGAAACAGGTTTAATCATAAACAGGAATGAATCTAGTTTGCCTTTACTATAAGATGGCCTTCAAGCCCAAGATGGAGGCAGGCTGGTTTATCAGAAGACCCACCCCAAATGTGGATGACATCTTCTTGTAGCAGACCAGATCAAAAGGACTCAGTAGAAGGAAGATTATTCACCTTTTACTTGCTTTATCTTTCCTGTTGTCATGGAGTTGGTTTACCTTGCTGCTGATTCAGCTAGATCTTTCTCTGACATCAGACACCAGTATTTCCAGGCTTCCATCATTCTCTAAAGACCAGAGGCTCTCCAGGAAACCTCCAGGTTTTTGACACTCTCTTGGAACTACTGAGGCGCCAAGTCTCGTGAACTGAGCCAACGACTGGGTTCTCAGTCTCTCAGATATGACTCAGCTGTCGCTACTCATTTGATGTAAGCACATTTAATAAATTATCTATATAATTTATACATACTCATACTTATTTATATAGCCATACATTTATAAATGCATGAATAATCACATGTTGATATTACATATAAGTATATATTCATCTTATCAGTTCTGTTCCTCAAGGGAACCCTCACTCATACAAACGGCATTTTAGATTATGAAACAAACATGAGTCTTTAAGGACAAGAGATGGACTCAACTTGACAAAGGGGGCATTTGTAATGGTTGACCCTGGACTGTATCAGAAGGGAGAAAGTGAGCTGCATATTGGCATGCATGCACACGTTCTCTCTCTGCTCTTGACGGTGGATGTGATGTGACTAGCCGCTTAAGCTCTCGTCCCCTTGAATTCTCCACAATGGTGGGCTGTTACCTGGAACTGTGTGTTAATAGAAACTTTCTTCCCCAAGTTCTTTTTATCAGGGCAGCAACAGAAACAAAACTGAAGCAGTCACCAGAGTGGTCTTTGTCTAAGGGGGGTCTTTATTTTCTGAGCCTTAACTTTAAAAACACTGAAGTTCATCTAAGTGTATAAATTGCAACCATGACTATTTTTATCCAGATTCAAGGGTTTTATTTTCCTATCGAAACATTGTAAGATTTGATTCTTTAGTTTTTTTATTTGTTGCTGTTTGTTTGCTTGTTTGTTTTTGAGATAGGATCTCTAGATTAGATGTGTAGCCTAGGCTGGCCTCAAATTTGAGGTCTTCCTGTCTTTAATGTCTGGGTTCTGATATTGCAGATGTGCACATAATGTCTAGCTCCATGATTTTGGACTTCTTCACTATCAAAGGCACTTTATAAAGCAATTTATATAACACATGCTGAAGTGTATCAGACAAGGTAGGTAATGATCTTTTCGATTTCTTTTGAAATTATCACAGATGGCTCAGTGAGTAACGGCATATGCTGTTGAGCTTGAAGACCTCAGGAACCATGAACATGTTTCTTCCCCAGAACCTGATGGAAGAAAATAACTGATACCTGCAAGTTGTCTTCTGACTTTCATATGTATATCATAGCATGCGCACGCGCGCGCGCGCGCGCGCGCGCGCGCGCGCGCGCACACACACACACACACACACACACACACACACACACCTGTAATTGCAGCAGGAACAAGACTGAGGCAGGAGGATTGGCATGAGTTCAAGGCCAACCTGGATGATACAGTGACTACCACACTAGCTATGTCTATATAGCAAGATTCTATCTCAATAAAAAACAAATTAAAAAAAACTTTTTGCAAATTAAGTTTTAAAACCCTTTATAACTTCTTACAGATTTAAAGATTATATGTTCATGAAAAGATTAATATTTTATAAAGAACCCACCATATTTTACCTCATTAGCATTATGCTATTAAAAATCCCAGTTGAATAGAGATGTATAAAAAAGACAACCATGTTAAATTCTTTACAAACTTTGCAAGTAAAACTTAGACACAATAGGCTACAATGGTCCCCTTCCTCCCCAATGAACTTCTCATTTGTTAAGTGTATGATTGCTTAATAATTTCCCTTTTTAAGATAGCCTTAAACTAATTCAGCCTGACTGTTTAAAAGTTTAATTCAAGGTAAAAATGTAATTTTAAAAAGAACACATTTCCTTTGGCTCAAAATTATCAACATCCAATTAATGTATTTTTGTAATAGCACAGACCTTTTCTTCTCCTTTTCAAAAGGCAGGTTCAGATTCAACAATTGACTGGAGAGAAAATTACCTTTCTTAAATATCTGGTCTATTCAAGTAGTTAAGAAGAGCTAGCCAACCGAAATGGGAACTCCTACTTTGAGAGCTGGTGTCTTTCATTGAGGACAATGGTTTGGATGAGAGATGCTGCCCACAGGCTTGGGCATGTGAGTACTTGGTTCCCGTTTAGTGGCACCCTTCGGGGAGGTTAGCTGTTGTATGTAGCCTTGCTGGAGGAAGTATGTCACAGGAGGTGGGTTTTGAGATTCTACAGCCTCCCCCTACTTCCTGTTTGCTCTCTCTACTTCGTGCTTGCAGTAGGAGATGTGAGCTCCCAGCTTCCTGCTCCAGCCTCTCTTATTCCTCAGGAACTTTAAGCCAAGATGACCTCTTTCTTCTGCTAAGTTGCTTTTGGTCATGGTGTTCTACTTCCAACAGAAAGGTAACTAACTCATCAAGTGAGCAGCCTTATAACACCAAGGAGTTTGGGATGGTCTCATATGACAGTAGAAGCAAACCCAACACATGTCCACATACGTAGTCATGCATATTCCCAGGGCTACCAAGGCATTCTGAGGGGGAGGGGATGCATAGTTCATGTAAGCACAGAATAAGTGCCATTTAGTACTGTGAGGATTCTCTGGCTACACAAATGTTCAGCTAAAGTGCCATAATGAGAAATGTGCTGTGTTCTATTTGTTCTCTTTATAGTGTGAACACGGTTCAGCAGTTTCTTTTGTACTGATTTCTTTCTTTTTTCTTTTTTCTTTTTTTTTTCCCGAGACAGGGTTTCTCCGTGTGATTTTCGTGCCTGTCCTGGATCTCGCTCTATAGACCAGACTGGCCTTGAACTCACAGAGATCCGCCTGGCTCTGCCTCCTGAGTGCTGGGATTAAAAGCGTGCGCCACCGCCGCCTGGCTTCTTTTGTATTGATTTCTAATCAATGCCTTAGAGTGCCTACACGGAACATAGAGATGGTCTGCATTTGTGCTCACCGTTAATGAGTCCTAACAGGTGTCTGCTTGGCACTCCGGTTCTTAGCTTTGACATACATTCTCTACCAAAGGCTGATGGTCCCTGCTACTGTTCACACTGCCTTTTGCTTTTCAAGGAAGCTTTGCCCAAAGTGAGCTTTGTGGTTATGAGGACTGATGGGAACACAGTTACTTTTCATTACATAAGCAAAGCCATAACCTGCTGGCCAAGAGAAGACGGGGGTTCTCTCTGTTCCTCCAAGCACAATACCAGTGCCTCACGGTCCTGCCCTCTGTGAAGTGATTACAGGTACTGCATATGTGGCCACTTAGGACCAAGTAAGGCAAATGCTACCCAAGTAACTGTTATAAAGCCTTGAGAAAGTATAGCACAGCTGTGCTTACACATGTGGAATCTCACACCAGCAGTTAGCATGAATTCTCTGCTAGACTGGCTTCTGCACAGAAGGGCTGGCCTGCAGCAGGTAGCATGGCTTTCCCCGATGCTTGCCAAAGCCATGTTCCTACTGGTGGGAGCAATTCAATTCACAAGAAATGTCAAGGAGTACAGCTTGCTGTGTTGAGAGTGGGTCTAGTCACCAGAGCAAACTGTGTTCCATCACCGGAAAGCAGCTTTGAAGAGGGAAACATTCTCAATTCCTCTGGCTTTGCATGCCTTCACCTGATACTGGAAGCCAACGTTAAGGCTTGCAGGAACTATCCAAAGTAGCAAAGTGGACCGTTAGACTGTCATCTATAAGCATGGCAGGACACCTCTTTCCAAGGTGTCCCTTAGAATACATATAATGTCATCTTGCACTAACTACAGTCTGAAAGATTCTCTCTACTTACCATTTTCTTCATAATCAGTCATCCATCAACTTCATTTTCTCAAACAAGGGGCCATAAATCAAAACAGGATCATTCTGGGCATCCTTGCTTTCTGTATAAAAAGCAACATTGTCCTCAGCCAATGACATGGAGACTGTTCACTAATAGACTAAAAATGCAAAAAACAACAACAACAACAAAAACAGATGAACAGAGAAGAGCCACAAACACCAAATGGATCTTCTTTAACAGAAGGAAAAAAAACAAAATCCTGGCTTCTGATCGGACTCTTCTTAAATAAATGGTTTTCGGTGGTGACCTCTTCAGTCCAGGAAGCATTTGCTGTAAGAAAGCTCTGGACATGGGAGGCGACAGGAGAACACTGTCCAGGTCCCAGTTGATGCCTACTGGGAGGCCAGAGGTTGACACACGGGACTCATCGGCATATGTTGTATTTGTTTCTTTTCCCTCCAGTCTTTGAATGTTTCACCTTTCTTAATGCTTTTCTGGGTTTTCCTCAGTACTATCACTTGGTGTGGAGAACCCTTCCTCCAGGTATGGAACTAGGGAGTAAAGGCCTGAGAGAGCAGGAGTGAGGCTGGGATGTCCCCTGATGGGACAGGTTGGGCTTAGCTGAGGGAATGCTTAGAGTAGTCACTTCCACAAAACATACTCAGACACTCTGGCAGGAGGGAGTCCCCACAGTTTCAGAGCTTCTGCTGTCTGCTTCTAGAAATCATAGCCCAGGGGTCCAAGTCGTAAGGAACTGTCAAGAATACATTTCTTAGTTCATGTGTTTCCATTCATTTGGCTATTTGTCCCTGTGCTTTATCCAACCTTGGTCTCAACAATTCTCGCTCATATAAACCCTCCTCATTCTCGATAATTGGACTCCCAGAGATCCACCCGGGGCCTAGTCATGGATCTCTGCATCCAGATCCCTCAGTAGTTGGATGAGGTTTCTAGCACAACAATTAGGGTGTTTGGCCATCCCATCACCAGAGTAGGTCAGTTCGGGCTGTCTCTCGACCATTGCCAGCAGTCTGTTGTGTGGATATCTTTGTGGATTTCTGTGGGCCTCTCTAGCACTTTGCTTCTTTCTATTCTCATGTGGTCTTCATTTACCATGGTCTCCTATTCCTTGTTCTCCCTCTCTGTTGTTGATCCAGCTGGGATCTCCTGCTCCCCCAAGCTCTCTTTCCCTCAACCCTCGCCTTTCATTACCCCCACTCATGTCCAGGCTGTTCATGTAGATCTCATTCCATTTCTCTGTCATTGGGTGATCCCTGTGTCTTTCTTGGGGTCCTGTTTTCCAGGTAGCCTCCCTGGTGATGTGAGTAGCAGACAAGTCATCCTTGTTTCATGTCTAGTATCCTGCTATGAGTGAGTACCAATGGCTGAGGGGTCACCAACTGGATCAGGCCCTCTGAATGGGTGAGACAGTTGATTGGCTTGATCTGTTTGGGAGGCATCCAGGCAGTGGGACCAGATCTTGTGCTCATTGCATGAGTTGGCTGTTTGAAACCTGGGGCCTATGCAGGATTGTTTGGCTCGGCCTGGGAGGAGGGGACTAGACCTACCTGGACTGAGTCTACCAGGTTGACCTCAGTCTGTGGGGAAGGCTTTGCCCTGGAGGAGATGGGAATGGGGGGGGGGGGGTTGGGGGGAAGGTGAGGGGGACGGGAGGGGAGAGAACAAGGGAATCCGTGGCTGATATGTAGAACTGAATTGTATTGCAAAATAAATTAAAAAAAAAATAAATCATCTTAACTATGAAAAAAAAAAGAATACATTTCTAACATGTTTTTTAAATTTGAATACAGTAAAATTAACTTTTTCTTTACAGCTCTGAGTTGTTTGTTTGTTCGTTTGTTTTAATGCATGAATTACTAATATTACCTTCCAGACAAGTTGCCACTCAGTCCTTTTATCCTGAGAGACTCGCACAGGCCGCTCCTAGCAGTCCTGTGTTCTACCTCTTACCTCTAATCTCTAACAACCTGCATACGGCCTCTGGTTTGGGCCCTTCTTGAACACCATGTAAGTAGATATCTCAGCTTTCAGCTGTGGACTTGCAAAAGCCTAGAGTCATCAGAGGGAGTCTCAGTTGAGGAGTTTTCCAAATCAGATTGTCCTGTGGCCATGTCTGTGAGACACTGATGATTGATGTGGGAGGGCCCAGCCCACTATGGGTGGACACTATCCCTACGCAGGTAGAGGCCTATGCTGAATAAGAGAGCTAGCTGAGTAAGAGCCAAAAAGCACTGTTCCTCCATGGTTTGTGCTTTAGTTCTCTTCCTGATTTCTCTCAGTGATGGACTTTGACCTGGAAATGAAAGCCAAATAAATCCTTTCCAAGTTGCTTTCAGCCAGAGTGTTTTATCCCAGCGTCAGAAGGGGAACTAAGAAGACTATAGCAATGTTTTGGATAATGTTTGGGGATTCATTTCTCTCATGTAGAAGAGCCTGTTTGAGATTTATCCACACATCTAAAAGTACCACAAGTTCGTTCCTCTGGATTCCTAGGTAGTGTACTCTACATTGACACACTGTATTCACCCATTTGCCAAGCACAGGCTGCTGGGTTCTTCTAAGTGATTATAAATAATGCTACTCTGAGCATTTTACAGATTTTTATGGGAACGTAAAAATTCATTTCCCATTGCTGGGCCATATGGTAGGGGTTTGTGGAAGCTTATAAAAACTGATAATGGATTTTCTAGATTGGAAATTTTTTCTCTCCCTCCTGCCTTCCCTTCCTCCCCCTCCTTTCTTCTCTATTTCTCCAGGTTTGCACTCAACTTATACTGACCCCAGAGAATGGGTAGAGAACATGTACAGTTGACGATACATCTTCCGTAAAGATTTGGTATAATCCCCGCTGAAGCTATCCAGGCATGAAGATTCCTTTGCAGGATGGTTTTGAACTATGATCTCTTCTTTAATAGATACAAAACCAATCAGGTAGCCTATGTCTTCTTGTGTAAGTTTTGGCAGTTGGTGTCTTAGGAAGAGTTGTTCCACTTCCTCTAAGGTGTTGACACTAAATTGCTATGGCATTCCCTTGTTACCTTTTTAATGTGGTCAGTGGGATACTACCCTGCGTTCCTAACCCTGGAGTTTTGCATTTTACACACATGGCCTCCACTCTCACTGGCAAGTTCGTCTACCTTGTTGCTGCCACTGCTGAAACCTTTGGTGATATATGAACCCAGCTTCTTCCGGCTGTGATCTGATGACTAGCAGCTCTTCAGGAATCTTCCAGGCCTTCCACACCAGATTAGGAGTGTTGAGGTATCCAGCCTGGTGGACTGAGGCACTACCAGGTTCTTAGCCTCTCTGATATGAGGCTACTGTTGAACTAATCTGACTATACTGTGTAGGCCAATCTAGCAAATTCTCTTTTAATATGTGCTCATTCTATCAGCTCTGTTCCTTAGAGAACCTGATACAGACTCTATTGGTTGTTATTTCCCCAATGGAATTAGTAAGATGTTTCCTGGTTCTCCACATGGTGAGCAATTGCCATGAGCACAGAGAATATTTTGAGTCTCTGGTCCTGTTTAAATCCTCTAGAAACTGTTTTTTCTTTCAGCATGCATTAGATTGATAAGGTTCAGAGTGTGAATCCTGACCCACAATTTGCACACTACACTTTCTGTGTCTAATACAGTGATATTTTAATTGTACTGAAATGTGATTTTATTTGTATATTAATAAATAAAGTTGCCTGGGGGTCAGAGCTAATAGCAAGCCATTGCAGAAGCTGGGCGGTGGTGGTGCACGCCTTTAATTCCAGCTCTTGGGAGACAGAGCTAGGCGGATCTCTGTGAGTTCAAGGTTACAGCCAGCATTGGAGACACACGCCTTTAATCTCAATACCAACCATAGAAGACCTGGAGGTCTGTACAGATGGGCAGTGACGAGGAGGTCATGTGGTTGGGTTTACAACCAATGAGAAGGCAAAACAGAAAGTCTATATAAAGACAAACACACAGGAAGTAGGTCTCTTGGCTGAAGAGAATAGTTGCAGCAGTGACGGGTAAGGCTCTTAGCTCTGACCTCTTGGGCTTTCATCTCTGCATTGGCTCTGTGTTTCTTATTTAACAAGACCATTCTTCTACAGTCTGGTTCATTTTCAGAACTTTTTCTGTCCTCTTGGGGTTTGACCCACACTAGGCAGCCCAGGCCTGGGATGTGTCATGGCCCACACTTTAGCTCAGTTCTCCAAGCCCTTTTACTCTCCTGCTTCAGCTCAGTGTTGTGTGTGCACAGATTTAGGACATCTCTGTCTAATTCCTTCTCTCTGTGATTTCCACTCCACCCCACCTCATCCTTTCTGATTCTCAAAGGTCCGTTTTCCTGGTTCCATAGTTAGGAAGTAGATTTTCATCCTCCTCATACTGTCCCACCCCTCAGAGGCTGCATCCATCCTCAGGACAAAGCGGCAGGAAGCCACAGAGTCCATGAGTCAGAGAGACAGATGTCTTCTCATCGGTACCCACCACCCCACAGCATCTTGCTGCTACAGAGCAAGAATGGGCGAGTGGAAACAGAACATCACAGGAAGGAAGCCTTTCTACTAACACTTGACCTTCCAGGAGCCCACTTCCCGCTTCTTTCTCCACCTAAAAAGTGAGTGTTTGTCTTGCACCTGTCTGCTCATAACTCCAGAGGCCCAGCACTGGGCTGCTTTCCAGTGTAAGCCAGAAGATAGGGGAGCCATCCAAAGGGCAAAGCAACCTGGCCCTGAATCAGCCATTCTCCACCATTTTATTTCCCTTTCTAACCTGCCGACTATCAACACTCCGTTCTCAGACGGTAGCTTTCTGTCTTCTGTTCAGATTTTAATTTTCATGAGGGAGATACAGTGGGGCACACTTAATCCATCACAGACCTCAAGGTTGGTTTGGTGTATAAACTGCTTTTGTTTTATATACTGACTTTAGAACACCCCCGAACCCATGTTTCCAACAGCTGTTTTTGAGGTGTCTTAGCATCTTGAAAGTTAGGTTTTTGGTTTGTTTGTTTGTTTTTTAAATACAAAAGTGCTTAAATCTCATAGGGTGTGGCACATGTTAAATTAAATATCACATAGGCAGACTCTGCCTATAGTAGGCTCTCTAGAAAGGAGAACCGCTTTTGTTGTTGGAATCCTCTGCATTGCTGATATTCTTGTAGACCACTGGGAGCCGGCGGCAGTAACCATCAGACCTCCATCAAGGCAGCTATAAACTGCCAGAGGAGTCACAGGGGTATGAAAATGAAGGCCCATCGGCAGTCCGTGTGGTCCTGTGTTGTTTTTTTTTTTCAGAATGTGGTTATGGAACAGGGTAGAAACCTCAGTGACCAGCAATAAAAATAGCATATTGTGGAGACACAGTGACCAGGGGTCTGACCACCCAGAAGGGAAGCATCCAAATGGTCGAGAAAGTATAAAGAAAGGTAGATGAGTGTCCTTAGCAGAAGGTTTTTATGTTTGTTTTTAAGTTGGTGATGGTGGTGGTTTTTGTTTTGAGCTTTAGTTCAGCAGCTTTAAAAAAAATGTAGCTGGAGCCTATTTATTCCTTTGTTCTGTGATATAGCCTGATGCTGACTATTTTCTGATCACCGATCTTCTTTTACATTAAGAACATGCCATCGCCTGAACTTTTCTGCTAAAACCGAAGCAGTGCTCTTAGTTCAGCGTCTCTGAAGTCTGACCGCCTCTTTCCTTTCCCACGGGCTAGTTTACGGTCCTCGCTGCGGTCTCCTCATCCCTTGACACTGTGCTGTTGTCTTTCCACTGCCGGGCAGCTCATAACTGTGTCAGCCTTCCCTTCTCGATGTTTGTTTCCCTCTCTAATTTTCTTACGTCTGCGCTTACCATGCTTGCCTAGGATTTTTCTAATTGCAGCCTGTTTGAGCACAAATGGCTGGTGAACCCCTCATTCTTCACGTTCCTGCCACAATAAGAGGCAATAGAGTCAGATTTAACTACAGAAGACGATTATGGGAGGTTCTGTAGAGCAGAACACGGGATAATAAGAGCGTCTCCATTAGCTTCAGCGCCCCGCAGAGCGCACGCACATGCGCCAGCATTCTTATGCAGGCCTGCTTCGGGTCTGTCATTCTTTCTCAAGTGTCAGAATACAGCGATGATTTCTTCTGCAGGCTGAAAATGAGCTGACTGTTAATGAAGGGGAAGAGCCGGTTACACTGAGTATGAAATTCCACATTACCCAATAACCAAGTGTCTGTTCAGTGCCTGTCGTACGCTACCTGATGATAGGTGAAGATGACAGATGTGGAGAACAGCTGCCTTCTGATCCTCTCATTCTTCCCCCTCACCCGCAGGTACCAGAGATCAAACCCAGGTCCCCTTATTTACACGCCAAGCATGTTACCAACTGAGCTAGCCCCACAGCCTTCGATCCCCTCATTCAAATCATCCCCTTTTTCCTCCAAATATTCTTCCTTGGAAGATGTAAACCACTGATTTGACTTGCCAGCACCCCAGAACATGTTACCAGCATAGTCATATGTTGAATTCTTAACCCTTCTGGTGACATTATTGAGAGGTGGAATTTGGAGAGAGGTGATTGGGTCGTAAGCAGAGAACTCCCATGAATGGGATTATGGCTGACATGAAAGGAACCCCAGAGACCCCTGTCTCTCCTTCTGCCATGTGAGAACATAGCAAGAAGTCAGACACTTGTGAACTAAGGAGGGGGCCCTCACCCTAAATCTGCCAGCACCTGCTTCTGGGAGTTACAGCCACCAGAACTGTAAGAGATGGAAAGTATTTCCATTACAGCAGCCCAGAGTAAGACACCGTCCAAGAGCAGAGCACAGGACACACACAGTTGCAGATAGGGTACATGAAGTCACTACTGACGTGGCCTGGGAACAGAGCTGGGGCAAAAGCCACAGCCAACAGGGCTCTTCCGGCTTAGGCTGAGGGCTCTGAAGACCTGCCAGAAAACCCGTTGGTGCGATGCAGTTTGTTTTTTGAAAAGGGATATTGCTGAGCTGGGGGAGAGAGCAGACATCTGATGAGGTTTACGTCAGCAAACATTCCAAGCGAGGGGTTTACTGCTGCCTTTTGTACTTCCAAGATTTTCAAGTTCTGGTTTGCTAAAGACAAATAAATCTTAAAATTATAATGCTATGTCAAAAGTGAATTCCTGAGAAAGACAATAAGAGTCTGTGTAGCTGACGGAGTAAAAGGAAACCAGACTGAAAGGGTGCCTTTCCCTCTCGATCCACAAAGGGAGGAGCCGGTCTTGGACCAGAGGTTGTGATGAAAACAACTATAAATCTGAAAAGACACACCCCCCCACTATTTTCTTGACAAAAGGAAGCACAGAGGAGCCAGACACCAAGAAAAACCAAGCTATGGGTGGTGCTGCACCATAACCCCAGAACGCGGGAGGTGGAGGCGGGAGGATTAGAACTCCGAGGTCATTCTCAAACTAGAGCAAGTTTAAGGTCGGCCTGAGATGAATGAGACTTCATCGCAAAGCAGCAACAACAAGCAGCCAGAATTTGCTGAACCGAGGTGGATGGAGGAGAAGATCTGCTCGCGACCGGCCCCCTCTGAGAGCTCAGGGAAAAGAGTTGAATTTCCGCTCTGAGTTGGCTGGTGTGAGCAGGGCTACCTCAGCTGCATGTGGCAGCCTCATCCTTTTCTTAGCCTTTCCTGGGTGGCCTGCACATAACCACAGAGCTAGGCAAGGCCATACCTAAAACCACAGGCGGCACAGAGTTCCCGGGTGTTGGCCACAGCATGCTAGCTTCTATTAAGTCCTTCTTTCTCCTTCTCCCTTTACAGGTACTGACCTACAACACCCTTCATCACCAAAATTCCAGATCAGCATTTTGTGGTGGTATTGTGTTCCCCAAAATATTGTGCATCCTAATAAACTTATCTGGGGTCAGAGAACAGAACAGCCACTAGATACAGAGGCTAGAAAATGGTGGCACTCACGCCTTTAATCCTAGCATTCCAGAGGCAGAGATCTACCTGGATCTCTGTGTGTTCAAGGATACAGCCAAGCATGGTGACTCACACCTTTAATCCCAGAAAGTGAGCCTTTAATCCCAGGGAGTGATGGCAGAAAGCAGAAAGGTATGTAAGGCGTATAGACCAGAAACTAGAAGCCTTTAGCTGGTTAAGCTTTTAGGCTTTTGAGCAACAAACACTTCAGTTGAGATTCATTCTGGATGAAGACTCAGAGGCTTCCAGTCTAAGGAAACAGGATCAGCTGAGGAACTGGCAAGGTGAGGAAACTGTGGCTTGTTCTGCTTCTCTGATCTTCCAGCATTCACCCCAATACCTGGCTCCAGGTTTGTTTTTTATTAATAAGCCATTTAAGATTCATGCTACAGCATTTCCTATAGGGAAGTCAGCCTACCACAGGGGTGCATCCTATCTAAGGTGGAAATAATATCCTTTTTTTTTTTTTTTTGGTTTTTTCGAAACAGGGTTTCTCTGTGCAGCTTTGCACCTTTCCTGGAACTTACTTTGTAGACCAGGCTGGCCTCAAGCTCACAGAGATCTGCCTGCCTCTGCCTCCCGAGTGCTGGGATTAAAGTCATGCGCCACCACCGCCCGGCCATAATGTCCTTCTTGAAGAGACTCAGAAAATAGAGGCAGAGAGAACACTCAGTCATGTGACCAACATAACTTGATACCAATTCTAATATGAACATTACAAGAAAACTAGAGATCCCTTAGCAGTATAGAACAGGGGTTCTCAACCTATGGGTCTCAACCCTGCTGGGGTCGAATGACCCTTCTCACTGTGCTCACCTAAGACCATCAGAAAACACAGATATTTACATTATGATTCATAACATTAGCCAAATTACAGTTATGAAGTAGCAACTAAAATAATGATATGTTTGGGGGTCAAAACAACATGGAACTGTATTAAAGGGTCACAACAGAAGGAAGGTGGAGAACCACTGGTGTGGAACAAAATAGCCTAACAAAGTAAATAGTAAAATAAACCCAGCAATTAATGCAAAATGAATGTATGTATAGTAAATGAGGCTTATCTCAGGGATTCAAGATAGACTTACCATCTGAAAATAAATCAATGCACATGCTATCCTCCAATGTCCAGGAAATTCAGGAGGGAATGGGAACAGATAATGCTGAAACAACTGGATGTAATATACAGAAAAAAAAAAAAACAACAAAAAGCCAACTTTCAAATCCCTCCACACCAATAAATGAACTCAGACTGCATCACAGAACTACACAAGCTAAAAGTCTAAAACTCACAGAAGAAAACACGTTACAGAATTTTCACAGTCTTGGAGCAAGAAAAAAAGATAGGATAGCCAGAACATCAAAATTGCAAATCAAGAAAAAATAACAAAATAAACTGGACTAGCACCAAAATGAAAACATTTTTTTCCTCTTTGCAAGACACAAGAAGAAAACAGAAAAGTAGACCATATGTTGGGAGGAAGCATGTGAAATACATCTGACAGAGAACTTACTTAAAGAGCCCCCAAAGCCCAGTTTTAACCGATAGATTTTCAAAGTGCAAAATGAGCCAACACTTCACAAGGAGAAGGAGGGAGAAAAAACAAAACAAAACAAACAAACAAACAACAGGTGGAGAGATGCCACATATCAGTCTTAGGAAGTACTCAACATGTATCAGGATAGCTGGTGAGACATGTGTTGGCATGTCCCACGGATGTAGACAAATCGGGACTCTCATTTCCTGATGATAGAAATGTAAAATGCTGTAGGCACTGAGCAGTGAGAAGATAAAATATGCTTTCCATATAATAGAGTATTGTTTGGTCATGAGAAAGAATGGGTGCTGATACCTGACAAAGCAGAAGAACCCAGGGACAGAAGATCATAACATCTAAGTTTTCTGTCTTTTGTTTTGTTTTGAGACAGAGTCTTCCTATGTAGCTCTGGCTGTCCTGGAACTCACAAAGCAGACCAGGCTGGCCTTGAACTCACAAAGATCCTCCTGCCTCTGCTTCCCAAATGCTGGGACTAAAAAGTGTGTACTGCTATGCCCAGCTTAGACTTTTTTATTTTAAAAAATCATTTATTTTATATTTTTATGTGTGGGGGTATTTTGCAGGCATGTACATCTGTGTATCACATGCACGCAGTGCTCACAGAGGCCAGAAGAGGGCAGATTCCCTCAGGACTGAAATCAGTTGTGATTCCTTAAGCCAGAGCGATAAGAATTGAACCAGGCTCCTCTGGAAGAGCAGCCAGAGCTCTTAACTGCTGAGCCATCTTGAGCTAGTCCCCAGGACTTCATTTTTATTAAATGTCAATAATAGGCAAATTTATGCACACAGAAAATAGATTAGCGGGTTCGAGGGTTTGAAAAGAGGAAAAATGGGGGCTGTTAGTAGTTGAGGTTTATTTGGGGGCGGGGGTGATGAAGAGGTCCTGGAATGAGGGATGATGGTTAAAGTTAGAATGTACTGAAAACCGCTAAATTGTCTACTTCAAATGAAATATCTGAATGCAAGCTATACACTTTTTAAACATTGACCCTTTGGTAGTATAGAATAGTAAAGGGCCAGGGAAATGGACCAGCAGGTAAAGGGCTTGCTATGGAAGCGTGAAGAACCTCAGTACCTATGAAAAATCTAGGCACAGTAGTGAATATCTGTAACTCCAGTGTTGGAGTATATCCAGGGATCTTACTGCCCAGCCTGTCTAGCTGAAACAGAAAGCTTCAGGTTCAGTGAGAGACTCTGTCTCAAAAAATAGGGCGGAGGGGGCTGGAGAGATGGCTCACTGGTTAAGAGCACTTGCTACTTTTTTCAGAGGATCCAGGTTCAGTTCCCAGCACCTACATGGAGACTTACAAATGTCTGCAACTCTAGTTCCAGAGGATCCAATTCCTTCTTCTGACTTCTGCAAATGCTGCACACACACGTGGTGCACAGACATACATGTGGGCAAAACACCATTGCAGAAAAAGTAAACAAATCTTTTTAAAAATATATAAGAAAGACACCTGTCATTGTCTTCTGGTCTACACACACACACACACACACACACACACACACACACACACACACACACACAAATAGTGATTGCTTTTCAGTGATTATTAAACCAGAATTTATATTAATTTCTTCCTAAAACTCATGGCTAACTGAACCTAATTCTTCTCATCGTCTCGGTGAAATGAGCAGGTCTCACCTAACCATACACAAGCAAGGCCATGGCCTACTTAGGTTAACTCTGCCGCGGGAAGAGCTTGCCTTCTGTCTGAACCTGACAACTCAAGCCAGGAACCGAGCCTGAGAAGCAGGGTGCCCACAGCCCTTCTTGCTTCTAGGGCTGTGCTTCGACTCTGTTGATACTGACTTTTGTTCACAGGATTCAACAGTCATTCCAGAGTCGAGGCTTTAACGGATGCTCTGTGCTCTCCATCACCATTAAAAAAGAGGCAAATGGTTGGAACTAGAAAATATTATCCTGAATGAGGTAGCCCAGACTCAGAAGGACAAGCGTGGTATGTACTCACTCATAAGTGGATACTGGATGTAAAGCAAAGGATAACCAGACTGCAGCCCACAGCTCCAGAGAAGCTAGCTAACAAGGAGGACCCTAAGAGGGATGCATGGATTGCCCTGCAAAGGAGAAATAGATGAGATCTCCATGAGCAAACTGGGGAGCCTCCATTCATTAACTGATGGAAGCAAATGCAGAGATCCATAGCCAAGCACCAGGCCAAGCTCCAGGAATCCAATCAATGAGAGAGAGGAGAGATACTATGAGCAAGGGACATCAAGATCATGATGGGGAAACGTACAGAGACAACCAAACCAAACTAGTGGGAACTCATGAATTGTGGACCAACAGCTGTGGAGTCCCCATGGGACTGGACTAGGCCCTCTGCATAGTTGAGACAGTTGTTTAGCTTGAACTGTTTAGGGAGCCCCTTGGCAGTGGGATCTGGATACATCCCTGGTGCATGAGTGAGCTTTTTGGAGCCCACTACCTATGATGGGACACCTTGCACAGCTTTGGTGCAGGGGGAGGAGCTTGGAATTGCCTCAGCTGAGTGTACCAGGTTCTGCTGACTCCCCATGGGAGTGGGTGTGTTACATTGGAGATAGGTTGGAGGGAAGGCTGGGAGGCGGGAGGAGGGAGGACAGGGGAATCTGTGGTTGGTATGTAAAATGAATAGAAAATCTCTCAATAATAAAAAAGAAGAAGAAAAGAGGCAAGCTGTGCTTATTTTCCACCTCTCCCACCATTTCAGACTAGAGAAAACCCTTCATGTGAAGAGTGAACTTCTATGTTATAGTTTCTATGGAGATTGGAGAAACCACAGGAAATATGAGATCGAGTGTTCCTGACAGGCAGCTGATGGCATCTTTGAGTCAAACGCAGTGTTTTCATCATGTGCAACATGACCTGGAGGACAAGGAAACACTCCATGTGGAGAACATGGCCCTGAGGATCTAGATGCATTCCCAGATTAGTCACTCTCCATCATGGCTGCCAGCACCAACTGTCCCCATCTGTTACATACAGGGCCTAAATCAGCGGCTCCTAATTTACTTTTATTTTTTAACTAAAATGAAACTCAGGTATGCTGTTGTTTGTTTGTTTGTTTGTTTTTGACTCTTTGCCCACTACCCAGCTCCCAAATAAATCACACACAGAGTCTTATTCTTTCTTATGAATGCCAAGCCTTAGCTTGGCTTGTTTCTAGCCAGCTTTTCTTAACTTAAATTATCCCATCTACTTTTTGCCTCTGGGCTTTTACCTTTCTCTATTTCTGTATATCTTTTCTTTCCATCTTGTTCTGTGTCTGGCTGTGTGACTGGGTGGCTGGCCCCTTCTTTTCTTGCTCCTCAATTCCTCTTCCCAGATTTCTCCTGTTTATTCTCTCTGCCTGACAGCCCCATCTATCCTTTCTCCTGCCTCACTACTGATCATTCAGCTCTTTATTAGACCAATTAAGTGTTTTAAACAGGCAAGTAACACAGCTTCACAGAGTTAAACAAATGCAACATAAAAGAATGCAACACATCTTTGCATCATTAAAAAAAAATATTCCACAGCATAAACGAATGTATCACATCTTAAAATAATATTCCACAACACAGGTAGGTTATATAGTAACAGAAACTCTCTCTCCTGTGCTTGCTCTCTCTCTCTCTCTCTCTCTCTCTCTCTCTCTCTCTCTCTCTCTCTCTCTCTCTCTTTCTCACACACACACACACACACACACACACACACACACACACACACACACATCTGTGTGTTTATTTTAATAAACTGGCTGATACAATTCTAGAAACTGAATCCCAACATCCCAACATCTGTGGTCTGCAAGCTGTAGACCTGAGAGAACTGTGCATTTCCAATTCAAAGAAAAAAGTCCCAAGAGGAGAGTGAGGTTTCCATTCAGGTCTGAAGGCAGGAAAAGGCTAGCATCCTAGCTCCAGGTGGCCAGGCAGGAGTGCCCTCTATGTGGGCCTTTAATGAATTAGAGGAAGACCACCCACTTGGTGGATGACAATCTACTTTACTCACTCTATGAATCCAACTGGTCATTTCATCCAAACTGTCCTATAGACAAACCCAAAATAATGCTTGACTGAGTAATTGCACACCCAGGGGCCCAGAAAAGGTGACACACAAGATTAATCATCATAACCAGGGAAGCTTAGTTCCAAAAGTATCGTAGAGACAAGCTACATATGCAAGGCAAATAAGAGAGATGCTGTGCTGGCTAGCCAATACCATAGCTCCTCCCCAGCCCCATGGTGACCCAAGGGACAGATGCAAAATGACAGGCAGGCCAGCCCCAGGCCTGAAGGGAGCATGGAAGCCTAAACCATGTCAAGAAAGGGTGTGATGGAGGCTCACTGCTGACTCTGCCTTGGTACTCAAATTCCTATCATTATTTTTTAGCATAAGGTCATTCTGAGTATGCACCTTGTAACTGTGTGGGGCCAAATTCTGAACAAAGGGTTTAGAAATAAAGAGACATATGCAATTCCAGGCCCTGTCCTTACAGGAAATGGACACACACCCACATCTTCTTTCCCAAGCACCTTAGCTAGAATACAGACATGAGGACGCACCATCTCAGGCCAGGTGGATGATGGCATCACTGCACAGTTGGCAGGTCCACACAGAGAGCAAGAACCTGGGCTCTCAATAATCTTGCAGAGTATAGTTTTTGTATTATCACAAACTTTTATGTGAGAGAAAAATTTAATCTCTCATCTATGTTATTGACTTTGTGTCTGTTACAAGGAGCTGTAACCTAATAGAAAACACATTCATCGGAATTTCTATGGAGGAGAATAATGTGACTCTTCACTGCCCATGTCAAGTATCCATTAAAGGTTTTCTTGAGCTGTATTTGACTCTCTTCACCAGATGGCAATTTAGGGTTTTTAGTAACTTTTTTGTTACTGCTGTTTTTCATTCGGTATTAGTTCTTTCAAGACACAGACTATTTCTGAGCTTCCCACCCTCACACCTGTCAGATCATGGACCTGTTGGCTAAAGATTGCCAATCAGTCTAAAAGGTAAGATCTGACAATTTGGAGAACTCAGGCCACATGTCCTTCCCTAGCTTGCTCACGTGCTCTCTCTCTCTCTCTCTCTCTCTCTCTCTCTCTCTCTCTCTCTCTCGGTGATTTTATTTTATTTTTTGTTTTTATATAAAAATTTTACTTACATTTTTATATACAATGTATTTTGATCATATTCCTTTCCCTCCCCTAACTCCTCCAGACCTTCCTTACCTCCCTACCCACCCAACTTCATGTTTTCTCTCTCAACCAAAAACATACAAAGGTCAAAATAAATAAATAAAAAATGAGTAAGACTTTTTTAAAAAAATTCCAAAACAAAAAGTGCATTAAAAAAAAAAACAAAACATGGGGACTGCCCTGGAGTA